GTAATGAGTAGCTCCACCATTCTTGTTGATGGTTTAGGCATGCTTGATGCCAGAGTTTCCAAGAGGCTAATAAGAACGTTGCTCCAAGTGTTGAAGATGGCTTCACGAAGGCCATCCACTGTCTGGAACTGATGTCCATTTTTGTAAACTTCCCTTGCCATCCATCCCCAAATGTTCTCAGTTGGGTTTAGATCCGGGGAACATGCAGGATGGTCCAAAAGAGTGATGTTATTCTCTTGGAAGAACTCCTTTGTCAGGCAGGCATTGTGAACTGTAGCATTGTCCTGTTGAAAAACCCAATCATTACCACACAGATGATGGCCCTCAGTCATGAAGGATGCCCGCTGTGTAAGGGTTTATTCTTACACTTCTTATAACAAGGTTGTAAGAGTAATTTAATTAGCAAGGATCTCTTTTATTTTGGCTAAACATTTCTTTAGAGCAAAAATGAATGGACACAAAAGTAACTCTGTCAGTGAATGTTGATTTGAACCATAATAAGCGATCATTTATTTTACAAATCATAAAAATTTAACTAGAGTACACCTGATTGTAAACAATTAATTTCCTATAAAAGTTTTGGGACCAACAATAACAAGCTTTTATCTTCTTAATTGTTAACCACACTTAAATAGAAACACAAACATCAGTTTAGATGTTAAATACCAGACATTTGAGGCTGTTTATCTTAGGAGTTTACAGGTCAAGGTTAAGAAAAAGGATTGAAGAAAGGTGTTAGCTTTTCTACTCTTTATCTTAAATAATGTGGGTTTTAACCAGAAGGGCGAAGCGTTCTGTGCTCAGCTTTGGTCAGACCTCGACGTCACACACAGCCAGCTTTTACCTTGAGATGATGTTCTGTCACCTGCCAGGTAGATGGGGGTGCTGCTGGAGAATCCGTCTTTAGACCGTCGAACAGGGGACCCCAAAGCGTGCTCTTTGACTCGTTTAGCGTCCACGTCAGCAGTAACCAGAAGACAAGGCCTCGACTGGAACCCAGGTTTTAAATAAAACTTCCGTCTGGAGAGTTTCTGAAGGTGGATAAACCAGGCGTTGGTTTTCCACACTGTGAGGTTTCCCCGTTGGCGTGAAGGGGCCAAACCTGACACAGTTTTCAGTTTTGATTCCCTGGAGAGAATCAAGTTGTCACAGTGACTGATGGCGGTCAGTCACCTTTTTCTCACTCTCTTTCTTTTCTCTGTACTAGATGGGCGGAAACTGTTAGTTCCTAAAAGCTTAGAGAATCTATGGTCCGCCCTCCAGAAGGTTAGATTAGAAGAGAAATTATCAAGGAAAGTGTTAGTTTCAGAACTCGCTGTGCCTTCCTGAAACAAAACAAAGATTATTGCTGCTGCTTTGTGGTTCAGAACAAAACATTTCATGACCTATTTAAATTATCTTATGAGCACTTATTTAAAACATAACTGAAAGAAAAATGAATTGCTTCAAGTTCAAAACATTTGCAAATATGATTCAGACAAGTAAAACATTAATATTTCATCAACTTAAACCATAAAGATTATTTTAGTTAAATAAGAATTTTTCCCACAGAAAAACCATACATGGCTGAAATCATTCTGAGGGAGAAAAGAGATCTGTCCTCTCTTCTCCTCTAACTTTGATAAACACTCTCTGATTATCAAAATGCGTAATACTTTCAGTTAAGAGAACACWAAATCAGATAAGAGAAGATTCTTCTGTTTTTATCTGATTTAGAATGAAAGTGACCTGGGGTGGCCTAAATACAGTTCTAAGTGGAACAGAGGTTTTTGTCCATTTGAAGGCCCATCAGAGGACTGAGAGTCCAAGACAGTTCCTTGGTAATTTGACTCGAGGTGACCCCTACAGCTGCAACATCTCCACATAGCCAGCTGCTGTTTGATGTCCCTGCACAACCTGAAGCTCCATTTTTCCACTGAAGGAAAATGCACCCCAAATCATGATGGCGCCCCCACCACTGTGCCCTGTAGAAAACATCTCAGGTGGGATCTCCTTGTCGTGCCAGTAACGTTGGAAGCCATCAGGACCATCAAGGTTAAATTTTTTTTCATCAGAGACGACAACTTTCTTCCACCTTTCAATGCCCCATATTTGGTGCACCCTTGCAAAGTCCAAACGGGCAATTTTGTGGCGTTGAAGAAGACGTGGCCTTTGAAGACGTTTTTTGTTTCTGAAGCCCTTCTCTCGCAGATGCCGTCTGATGGTTATTGGGCTGCAGTCAGCACCAGTAATGGCCTTAATTTGGATAGAGGATCGTCCCGTGTCTTGACGGACAGCCAATTGGATCCTGCGGCTCAGAGCTGGTGAAATTTTTTTTGGGTCTACCACTTGACTTTTTTGTTCCATAACCCTCAGGATCATTTAAAAAATGCAAAATGACTGTCTTACTGCGTCCAACTTCAGCAGCGATGGCACGTTGTGAGAGGCCTTGCTTATGCAGCTCAACAATCCTACCACGTTCAAAGTCAGTGAGCTTTTTTGCTTTTGCCATCAGGAGGTCTTGACAGWGTAAAGACTTGACAGAAAATGACATGGAATCCAGATTTTTGCACAGCTTTTGGCCTTTAAAGACTATGGTCTTAAACTTTTGATCAGCTGAAAAAAATCATGTTTGAGTGTAAATGCAGTTTTCAGAAAATCCCCTGCTCTAAAGTTCTTGTCTCTTGCACTGATTTTTTCTTTTAGCATTGTGAAGCTCTGCTTAGAACCTTCTKAAGATCCAATAGTGCAAAATGCAAATTCTTGCACTTTTTTGACTGGTCTTAAGAATTTGATCAGGAGTCTATTGGTGCACTCTGTATCACTCTGCTACTGGTATTTTGTGGGTCAAAAGCTTTTAACAGTTGGGGAATCATTGAGATAGAGTATATGTGACCAGACTGTTTCTTTCAGTTCACTGTTTTTCTGTGCAGGACTCACCTTTTTATATGAGTTATGAAATGGACCTGAAAGACAGTGCTCTGGGAGAGGGCAGCTTCTCCATCTGTAGACGCTGCACACACAAGAAGACTGGTCAAACTTATGCTGTCAAGATTGTCAGTAAGAGGTACGAGCCTACTTTCTCCATTGGTTCACACTTTGGGCTTAATTTAAAGTTTTGAAGAAAATTTTGTGACTGATTGAATGTTAGATGCAAGTTTTGTATTTTCATAATTTATGATCATTGCAGCCATATGGTTTAAAACAGAGAAAGAGAATGTCTGTCTTATTGATCTGTTCTTTCTTCAAAAAAAGTTGGTTAAATTCAAACGTCTGACGTAAAATATAACATCTTCAAGGATGTAACCAGGAAGGGACATATGTTAAAATGTTGATTCACTATGATTGAGAAGAGAGTTTAGTAAGTTCTTGTGTGCTGTCTCTGTCTTAGCGCAGCCAGGGACAGATGCTGCTCCTGAGAGTTTATTAGTTTATGTTCAGATAAGGCACCAAAGCCTTCTGGCTGACTGAAGCCTGACTATGTGTGCTGCTGGAACTGATTGGAGTCAGAGACAAGAATAAAGTATTTAGAAGAGATTCAACTGGTTTTCTGCTATATTATTCAGACTTCCATTTATTGATCACTGTAGGATGTGTCGACAAATGGACCCAGAATGCAGACAGACTCGAAGGGATAAAAAAACAACCTGTTTAGTTAAAAGGGTTAAAAAAACATAGCTAGCGAGGCCGCAAACTTACAATGAAGTTGACTCAGGAGAACACGAGGGGAAGACAAGAGAATGCTGAACTGAAGAGTGGAGACTATAACTGAATATAAAGAGCAAGGGCTGATGAGGTTATGGAAAGCAGTTGGGCTGAATAAAGAGTGGCAACAGGTGAGGATGACTGGAAAAATTACTGAGAGGCAAACTGAGGATGAATGAAGGTGAGAACATAGAGAGTAGACACAAGAGAGAGACAGAGACAAGACACAGATTCTAACAGTACCATCCCTCTAAAGATCCTCCCTAGATGATAAACTGAAAAACACAAACACGGGAGGGCAGAGGGGGCACAGAAAAACAGGACAGAGGGCATGAGACAAGAGGCCACAAATACAACATCCAGGAGAATAAACAGGGATGGAAAAAGTACAAGAAAAACAAAGTAAGAGTAAAGAATGAAGAATCGAAAGGTGGAACCTGGGAAAAACCAACAGTTAATCAGTCACAAATAATCAAAAGGACAGCTCCAAGGTGAATCCCTGCAAACAGGAGAGTCCAGGAGGAAAGCCGACATTGGTCTCTGGAGCAGGCGTAGACTAAGGAGACTCAGAGGCAGGAAGAGTCATTGAACCAGGAGACTTGGGAACAAGAATAGACGTGGAACCAGAAGACTTGGGAACAGGAACTAAAGACTCGAGAGCAGACTTGGAACAAGGTTACTCTGGAGCATGTGAGGGTGGCTCAGGATCAGGCAAAGATGGGGCAGAAGCAGGAACAGATGACTGGGATGAGGAGACGAGACTCTGGAGAAGACTGGACTGAAGATTCTGGGACTGAAGAAACCGAAGGCTCAGAAACTGCTAGAGAGGCTGCGGGGAATATAGGTGGCTCAGAAGAGGTGAGAACCAATAAGGAGGATGGTGAGAATGAACCAGGCGACAATGAGAGCTTGGCAGAGGCTGCAGCAGATGTGGAGAMCCTCTGGGGAGTGCAAGAGGCGTGAGAGGTGTCGAAAACCCTCCCTCTGAGTCGCTGGAGGAAGGAGAGGCATTGAAGAAACTTTCGAGTCTACAGGAGGGGTTGGAGGTGTTGACCCTCTGGGGAGCACAGGCGGAGGACGYGTCAAAGACCCTCTCTGGTGAGTGGGACCCTATCGGCTCCTGAGAGTGGGACCCTGGAGATTCCGGAGCCACTGGCTTTTTCCGGTGGCTATGTCTCCCAGCAGAACCGGAGGAAGACTCCACTGGTGACGGCCCAGGGATCTCTAAGACCTCCAGTGTGGAACCTTCCAGACCCAGTCAGTTAAGACCAGTCAGCTCATTTTGAAGCTCAACGACCATCTGCGCAGTCTCACGAAGCTCCGGGAAAAGGAGGGCCTCAGCAGAGGATGTCAGTAGCTGCTCAATTTGTCCACGTAAAAAGCCTCTTATCATTGGAGTTTTTTTGAAAAACAGCTAAGTATCCTTGGATCAATCCAACAATCTGCTGAGCTTTAGGGGAGGACTGGACTGGCCTGGCCAAGGAGTTTCCGAAGAGGACGATGGAGTCTGGGTGTCCAGGAATACCCTGGGTAAAGGCTCACTAGCCACATAAATACCGCTGTATTCTTTCACCCTCTCCTCCTCTTCCACTAGAAAAGGAAAGGGAAGAATCTCCAAATCAGAGTCTGATTCAAACAAACAAAAATTGTCTGTTCGGTCCAGGCTTGAGTTCAGGATTCTGTAGGATTTGTCGGCAAATGGACTCAGAATGCTGACAGACTTGAAGAGATAAAAAATAAACTGTTAAATGAAGAGGGCGAGGCAGCAAACTTACTTACAATGAAGTAGACTCGGGAGAACACGAGGGGAAGTCATGAGAGGACACGAAACTGAAGAATGGAGACAGAGAAACTGATTGTAAAGAACAAGGGCTGATGAGGTTATGGAAAGCAGCTGGACTGACTTAAAGAGTGGCAACAGGTGAAGATGACTGACTGGGAAAAGTACAAGCTGAGGATGAATGAAGGTGAGAACACAGAGAGTAGRCACAAGAGGGAGACAGAGACGAGACACAGATTCTAACAATCACGAATTTCCTTCAGTTTTAGGTACATCTGTCCCACCAGCTGCTTCTTTCAGAGGTTTTTAGGCTACGTTAGCCCCCTTTAATAAATGTGTGAGGAAATAAATTTGAGACCACTTTACAATAAGACTCCCTTTATAAATGGCTTATAAATGGTTTATAGATAAGTTATTAATTCATCTACAAACCCTTTATAAATCATTAATAAATGTTTATTATGCATTAATTAAGGACGAGAAAAAAACAAAACTGTTCGGTTTCTTGCCAAATAGTGAGCCAAATCTGTACAYAGACATGTCATCTAAAAGGTGCTATATTAAACATTTCACACTAGGTACCTTATGGGCACAATTATGATTTGGAAACACATATTTAAGCAATTATTAGTACTTTATTACTTTCTTAAAAATATCTACAACTAATAAAGGGAGCCTTATTGTACACTATTTATTAATGACTTAATAAACATTTATGCCATAAGGGAGTTTTATTGTAGTGTAAAACAGTACACTATTAATGACTAATAAACATTTATAAATGTCAGTAGGGAGCCTTATTGTAAAGTGTAAAACAGTACACTATTTATTAATGACTAATAAACATTTNAAAGTGTAAAACAGTACACTATTTATTAATGATTAATAAACATTTATAAATGCTATAAGGGAGCCTTATTGTAAAGTGTAAAACAGTACACTATTGTTGTAAAACTTGTATATACAGTACTTTTAACAGTGCCTTTCCACATGTGTAGAGGAGGTCACTGCAGTCACTAAGTGGGAGGGTTCTTGGTTTGTGGGAGGAGTTTGTCTAAGATTGAATTGGTATGTTTAACTTTTGTGGGAGGAGTTTGTTAAAGACTTGATTAGAATTAAAGATTGACTGTTTTGGGTAGGATTTGAAGAAGCCATAACAACTCTGCTGTATGAATGCTGGGGTGACGTGTAATTCTGCCAGAAAGAATCTTTAACTTTAAACATAAATATGTTAATTTTAGTCATAACTTGAGACAGGAAGCTGCTAGCTGCATGAAATTTAAAGTCAATTATTTGTACATGTTTAYAATAATGTTACTATTACTAGTACTTCATCTTTTAATTTTCTACACAAGTCAACCTGACCAATCACAGTTTTGCCAAACTCCGCCTACACCCAAAAAAACCTCTGCATATTATCCAAACTCCGTTAATCACAGTTTAGACAAACTCCACCCACACAGCCAAAAAAATCCCCTCATGTACTGCAGAGAGCCCTACTYGGATGTGTAAAATGTCTCAACCAGAAACACTAATGCACTACCTTACCATCAGAGAGGCAGTTTTTTGAAGTGTGTGTGCTGATAACAGGCCTCATGGTCCCAAAACATAGTATAATTTCCTAGTTTAAACTTTTAATAGGTTTTATTGTAAATAAACAATGGGTTTGTGAGATTTTTAAGTCATTGCATGTTTTTTTAAATTTAAATATTTTGCAATGTCCCAACTTTATTACAGTTTGGGATTTACTGAATAAAACTGGGTAATAAATGCATAAACTGATGGTGCACTTAATATAGTACATTTCATGGACTGTACTTTTATGTAATGTTGAGACACTTGAAACAAGATATATGTCATAACAAATAAAAAAAATTAATTGAATTTTTTCAGATTTTTTTATTCTGCTTCAGTAGTTTTTTATTTGTTAGGACATATTTATTTATTTATTTATTTATTTATTTATTTTCCTGTAGGATGGAAGCTCAGACCCAGCGGGAAATAGCAGCCCTGAAGCTCTGTGATGGCCATCCCAACATTGTGAAGCTGCATGAAATTTTCCACGATCAGGTGAAGCGTGTTCTTAGGTTTATGGTACTCAGTGGCATGCATTCTGTTTTCTGTAGCTATCTGTGGAGCCTGCGGATCTGCAGTCTTATTAAGTCCTAGAAGTGGAACAGGGCAGATTAATGGGGATGCTGAGAGCCTTCTAGGTCTTTCTCTGTCTCCTCACATGTTGTCTGTGAATATCTTTGCATGCTGGCTATTTCAAAGCAGATTCATTTCCAAACTGCAGCTGTACAAACAGTCTTTTTGTGTTGCAGAATAGAAAAAAAAACCCTGATTCACTTGTGTTGCTAATAGAGTTGTGCACTTAAATCAAACTGAGTGTGCATGGATGTAGCTTACCTCAGTTATTAGAAAGGTGTTTCCAAGCGTCTGACTGCAGGCAGGTTCATTAGCCAAAGTCCTTCATGCCCAAGAGCACCACTTTAGCCCTGATGAGCTCAGTGGGGTTATTACTGTACCTCACAGGCCTGTGACCCAGATCAAAGCAGCGCTGCCTATAGCTCCATCCTGCCTTTGTTCCCCGGATCCAGCACTAATGAGAAACTGTACCATGCTGCACACACACACACTTCATTCTCTTCCTTCTTTATTAAACCCTTTTCACTTTTACTCAGTGCTATTATAGTTTGATCTCACTGTCATATAATCAAGGATGAGCTGCTTTTCTGTTTTTGTTTTGTATCAGAAGAACAAAAAAAAAACTAAGTGACCAAATCGCATTTAAACTTCTTTCAATTACACTTTCATATTTGGAAAATAAAATTAATTATGCATTAGAAAACACTTATTTTAAAAACATAAAAACTACATTCATGAATTAAAAGCCTACCATTCTTTGAAGGAATGCATAATGCCCACTGCCTTTTGTGTCAGAGTTTTAAACTAAGATAATCTTATAATAAAATTTAAAGCCAGTCTGAACTATATTTGTAAATGACCATATTCAATTCAATTCAATTCAGTTTATTTATTTAACACCAAGTCACAACATAGCACTGTACATGCAAAAAAGAACAATCTAAAGAAGAAGACGTGTGCAACCTCATGCGATACTGCAGGATCTTGCATTTTCTATTTTTGCTTAAGTTATTTTTTGAGGATGATCTCAGCTGCTACCACATAAAATGTGAGCCCCAGATCTATAAAATTCACTAAGCTATAATAATGTTTGTGTTAAGATCAATTTACTGTGGCAGTCATCTTAAAATGGGGTTGATTATAAAAGTTGTTTCGTGTAGATGTGCTTAAAGTCATTATTTTCTGAATGTTTATTTAAAATCTGTCCAGTGAGTCGTGATTTCTTTGCTAACAGCTGTAATAATTATTGCAAAGTTTTAAAAATAGAAATTGTCAGCTAGTGCTCAGAATATGTGTCTCATCATTCCAAATTATTATGCAAATTACATTTAAGTGTCATAAAGATTGCCTTTTGTGTTTTTCTATTAAACTCATCGACAGTGTTTTGTCTCAGGGCTCTTTGGATCACTGAAACTAATCTCAGACGCCTGTGATAATTAGTTTGCCAGGTGAGCCTAATTAAATGAAAAACCACCGACGAAGAACATTCCAAATTATAATGCAGACCACCATTTTCAAGCAATATGGGAAATAAAAAAGATTTCTCTGCTGCTGAAAAGCATGAAATAGTTGAAAGCCTTGGAAAACCCTTAGATATTTCTGTGCTCTTGTGGATTCAGAGCACATGTAGGTTCATGCAGTGATAACACTGAGCATTTCATTAAAATCTGCCCTGTTGTTCATTAGCTATTTTGTTAACAAATCAATAAATGACCACACACACTCAGACACAAACAAAAAGGCTATTGTCTTTGGCGGTAGGTGATTAATAAAGGTAAAAATGTCTTAAACTCTCAAATGCCTTTACGTAGAAAATGTGGCCACACATCCCCAAAAAATAAAAAATTAACACATTTATGCCCATTATAAATTCATTTTTTGACCCCATATTTATTGTACCATAAAAATCACTAATTCTTTTCAATTGAGTGTATTTTATTTTTTACCCCGGTCACTCTACATTCGATTTTTATATTAAACCACTTGTCAGTGCCCAACTTTCATGTTTGAGGGACACTGTAATATTACCAGTCAGACTTCATGCAATCTACTCAGAAAAGTTCAAAAAGTCAAGACTGGTGTTAAAAGAATATAAAGTATGAATTTGGGCATCTTAATGGAGAAAATTTATTTTAACAGTATTTATAATATAACTTATATAAATAAATAAACAAACCCAACCAACAAAAAACAAACTGAATTGTGGCATTTTGTAAAACTAAAGCCTAAAAGACTAGGAACTAAAGTAAAAGAAAAAAACTACTTTAAATTGGATATTTTTATTTAAGGCTGTGATGTCTTTAAAATACTTACTTGTTTATTGTGGACAAAAGCATTAATAACTAGTATTTTTTTCAGTAGGTGTGTAAGATATATTCATGAAGTTAAAGGACAGTTTGAAGGTTAACAGTGTTTATCAAGAGATGTAAACTTTTGCTATTTGTGTCTTCTAAAGCTCCACACATACCTGGTCCTTGAAATGCTCGGCGGAGGGGAGTTGTTGGAAAGAATTCGCAAGAAACAACATTTCAGTGAGACTGAGGCCAGCCGCATCATGCGCAAACTGGTGTCTGCGGTCAGCCACATGCATGATGTAGGAGTGGTGCACAGGGACCTGAAACCAGAGGTACCAGTCATGAACTCAAAAGGGTCCAAAATTCCTGTGTCTGAGCTTGTCTTTGTGGAAAATACAGACAAACTGGATCATAAGCTTTGAGGACAGAATTACTGTGTTTTTCTGAACCACATATGAGGTGTTGTGTTGTCCCTCTGGCTCCACAATCTTCTTCAAAACAAGAGTAAAATTGTTTGACCCCCCTACATGGGTCAGGAAGATCTGGTCAGTCTTGATGTACAATTTAGTAAGCTCTTAAGTAGACTGAGCAAAGAAAAGAAAAGAAATAAAAAGATTGCTGTCTGTGTCTCAAATTGCTTTGTAGAATCTGCTCTTCACAGTCGAGAGTGAGAACTCCGAGATAAAAATCATAGACTTTGGCTTTGCTCGTCTAAAACCGCCAGACAATCAGCTGCTGAAGACTCCCTGCTTCACTCTGCAGTACGCTGCCCCAGAGATCCTCAAATATGACGGCTATGATGAGTCCTGTGACCTGTGGAGTCTGGGGGTTATTCTGGTGAGTTCATTGCACATCGGATTGGTAATATGAGCCATATTTGATAATAAACAACAATAAGGATAAAATAGCATCAGCAGGCTGTTATCTGAGTCATTTGGTACTTTTTAAAATCACATATATTTTACTGCACTTCAGGCAAGAAGTGGGTTTGAAGATGCTAAATTCCGCTTCCTCAGAAGAAATTGATAAATAAAAGAGATGTAAAAGTTACAATAAACAATAAAATGTTTGCTATTTTATAGATAACCCTGGATAATAGGGTCGGGCATTATTGATTATTTTCGTCATGTGTATAAACTTTAAAAGAAACAGCGGTATATGCTGGTGGTGGATAGATAGAGRCATGGGGAAATAAAACTGCTGCTCTGACGTGTTGCTGTCTCTCAGAGCGGCAACAGGAGAGGTATCACAGAATAGCTTTGCCCCCTAT